AAGGGAAGTAATCTGTGATAATGACCAATGAGACTTACCGGTTTGGTATTCACAAGTTCTTCCTTTTGCAGTCAAGAAATGTACATTTTCAAATGCAAGACGTGTAAATGTCAGTTGAAGAGTAAAAAAAAGAATTCAAATTATCAAAATAATACACCTTATGGATTAAAATGCATAGTTTGCAGTTTGTAAAATTGAAAAAAAAGTATTTTATATAAACACTATCAGTCTGAGAGAAAAAGTACAGTTGAAGACTAGAAAAAAATATATGCAATATTGTAATTTGAACCCAATTTTTTTTCTCATAGATTTGCACTTATAACTTTTTTAATATTGATTTTGCTGCTAAAAGAACATATTGTAAAAACCATGTCTTAGATTCATAAATTTATTTACTGAGAATATGACATTTGAAATTCTTAAATATTTGGTAAATATTTATTTGCTGAGAATTATTTCCAAAGCATCTGCCTCATTTGAAATTCTTATATAATTAGAAGCGAGTTTGGTATGTTTTACAGTTACTTGTAGTGCCGTGTTGAAGTTCAAAAACATTGGTCATTTTTATGTTATTGTGCATTAATTTATGATATTTCAATATTAAAAGTATAATTCACATATTTTTTTGCAATTATGTGAATTGTATTTCATTGCATGTGACTGTAAACAAAAAATTTGAGCTTTGTCAACTTAAATTTTAAACATTTTGTATGCTTGATTATGGGCAAAAGAAAAAGCAAATAAAGTATACCTTTATCCTTGGAAGAAAGTTTGATCAGACCATAGTAAAACATCAGACTAACAATATAAAGTTTGTTAGGAAGCATATGTTCTTACAATACTATACAAGTCTGATTAGTGAAATGGTCAACTGTTGAGCTATCCAGGAGAGTTGCAACAGGCCCACTTAACCTTTTGTTTATTTTTGAAAAGTCTGCTGTGCCAGTTTGGATCCAGCCTTGTTTGAATGTTCAACAGGACATGCTCTATCAAAATTGTGTTAAGGGTGGTTCCCCTGGCTCCTACAGTACAACTAACAATGCAACCAAATTTATATGGTATGTTGTACACAAAACCACATAGCAAAGTATTAAATAGTATGGTATCATTTTCATAACAACAAAAATGGAAAATGTATTTTCAACTTCACAAGAATGAGTTAGCCAATTTTGATAAATATTGGTGGAAATGTCTATTAGGACCTCGTGTATCAATATTGTGTCTTGGGTGGCTCCCATAGCAGTTGTTTTGCACAGCAACCATTTGGAAAACATTTTAATAATTCTATAAAACAGCTGAGTCAACTTTGATTAAATTGGTATGAATGCTTCTTAGTACATACTTTAAAGTGTCACGGTCAAGGCCAAATAAAACAGAATAGATGAGCAGCTCAAACCTTGATCATTTACTAGCCATTGAGATGAAATAATGTGTAATGTTTTGTGGCAATCCTTAAGTAGTTTAGAAGTAATAATAAAAGACTTGAACAAAATGGTCAATGATCATAGATCTAAAGACCAGTAAAGCACCATGAAAAGAAAGATAAATTTACATCAACATCTTATCCACAATAAGGGAACTAAATACTACACATATAAAGGATCTCAAATGGGTAAGGATTTAATAATGAATTTATGAAACAAGTTGAACAATGTCCAGCTCTTGCATGCCTTGGCTCACTAAAGCTGGACATTATTCAATGAGTTTCATAAATTTAATATAAAATCGTTACCCATTTGAGATTCTTTTTATCACATAGTTTTTATTTCAGTGGAAATCATTTAGATAGAAGAATAATTTTGTTCATTCTGACAGATGGTGTACCTTTCATTTGTTGTGCATAAAATATAGTCCCAAACAAAGCTGAACTGGTAGAAGTAGATTGTACTGTTTTACAAACTATAAATCAAAGAAAAAGCTTCCATCCAAATAAACAGAACATTTTATAACCACAAAATCATTTTTCAAAACAGAATGATCAATGCGATGTCATGCTGCCACATTGTTTGATACGGTACACAGTATACAGGCTGACAGTAAAATACACATGTACCCTAAAATTTGTTTAAAAACTACTGGTAAATGTTACATTGTTGCGATTTTTATGTGAAATAGGATTACCGGATGCAAAATGTCCCATTTTGTGACCTGATATTTGTTGTGACTGATTTGAAAAATAGACTACAAAAAGATGTCAACAGATTTATTTTCGTATCGGATTTACATCCCATATATGCTACGTAAAAATGCTGTGGTTGGATAAAGATCTGTCAGGAGACCCATTTATGTCCAGATTATTCTACGAACAGAGGTAAGTTTATTTACTTCTTGAAGTTAAGATTTAAACCACGCATGTATATACAGTGGATTCTATATCTACGTTACTGATATATGCACCCACCCCACTCCCGTCACCAGCTATCCCTTAGTTTTACGCCTTATTGTCATTCTTGTCTTGTAGTTTTATGCCATTTTCCTTATGATGATAATGTTAAACATGACATAATAAACCCCTGTGGGAGTAGAAAATCCATATTGAGACAGCCAATATAATATTTCCTCAATTTCCATTTGTGAGTAGAGTTAAAAAATGGCCACCAAAAAATGTTCATTCAACTCTAAACATTCCAGAAGGAAAGGTTAAAAACGTTTTCACATGATCCCAGCCAATCGGTAAAGGAAATTCTGCACAATAATTTCATGGTCTTATTTTGACCAATCAGAATCATAAAGTGATATTTTAACATGTTATAATATCAAAAATATGAAACTGCACATACTATAGGAAAACCAGACCTACTATGTGATAAAAGATTATTATGCCATTGGCATCGTAAGTACATTTTCAGCAATTTTTGAAATCAAAAGACAAAGAAAATAGTCTAGTATCATAATTACAGTATCAGGTATGCTGTCCTTCACAAGAGCAGGAGCAGTAGTTTACTCCCTGGCAGATTCTGTAGAGAGGCCATATACTGTTATTCATGTCTGACCCTAGGAATGTTCCATCTTTCCATACATCACTATTATTATTCCTGCTTAATAACTTTCCCCATAACAAAAGGCTCAAGTGGGCATGCCTGCCAACTTTTCAAAAGACAATTAGGGAGATTGAATACAATAAAATAGAGAGACTGGGCAAAACAATTAGGAGTTTTTTTGCAATATTTTTTAAGCTATGTTTTTTTCCCTTAATATTGATCAATCTTCTGGATCCAAAACGCCTGAAATTCTCAAAGCAAATGCAATTTCTCTCTCTAATCCACCTTATTTTTCTCCAGGATGTGCCCTTTTTTTATATTCTGGTTTGCTATAGCCAACTGCACAATGTCAAAAGGTTAGTCTTAAGTAAACAAGCAGGAAAGCCAGTGTGACAAATAGTCCATCCTTATCATTTCTATTATCTTGTGAAATGGACTAGCAGTCTGATATAATTCAAGGAAACCAACATACTACAGTGTGTGCTATGTAAGCACCAGCAACTGATTGCCCTCTTATATCATAGATGCAAAGTCTTAAACTACCATACATGTGGCAACTATTTTTCCAATGTTTTATATTCCACCTTACTTCCTTTTTTTCAACTCAAAAGGCATTTGACATTGTTGATTAAGTAACATATTTATTCTGAATTAGTTTTTTTTAGGGCACATAAGCTGAGTGGCATGTTTCTTAATTCCTTCTTTTAATGTAATGATGATACTTAACTTTTGTATACATGGTACAGTAATGCCAGGTGTTCATGGGTGTAAGTTTCTTTGGTAGGACTCAATATGCTAGAACATTCACAGTTGTCTTTCTTGGGATTGAAACTAATTGATAATTATATTGATGTAGTTTATTTTCTGATGTGGATTAATTTCTAATTTTAGTATTGCAGTATAGTTTCAAAAATCCACAAATCTACTTGTCAGTCTGGTGTTGGGATAATGTGACTAGATCATGCTACATGTCTGCAGCATGATGCCCCAGTGTTAGACATCACTATAAACTTAACATTCTGTTTACTGAGCAAAAACATTCTTTTTTTTGTAATAAAAATTAAATTGTCACAACAGTATTCATGGGTGATAAAATAGAAAATAGCTTCTGTGGATTGTAAAAGATGTATCTATTTCCGTAGGATATTTTTTTGAAAAACGAAAATCGATAGACATAATAATCAGGAGTACTCTGTAAAAATCAGGAGGTAGATGTGGAACGGCCCAAAATTTCGAGTTTTTTTCCTCCAGGTATGAGAGATGACAGGTATGAGTGGGTAATGTATCACTCACCAGATGTACATTTCATGTAACTATTGACTGTTGCACTTGGTAAGCTGTGTAGTATTGTACAAATATGACCTGTACTATCTGTCTCCCAAACATTGTATTATGCTGATTTTGACCATTTTGCTACATCCACATACAAAATTCTTTATAGAGATAAGGTATAAGTAACAAACAGTCATTTCCTTATAAGTGAAAGCGTCTTAAGATTTTTAATGATATATAATCATGTACACAAGTTACCAGACCAGATGAGACAACGAATAATCTTTGAAGTTTATCAAATCATGCTCTTCCAATCAGATACAAGATATCTCATTAATATTTGCTGATTTTACTTATTACAGTACCTATTAATGATTTGTTTATTACACAAACAATGGAGTAAAGTCGGACTAGGATTCAGTCTCCAGAGAAGTAGCATGCTCAGCCAGTCAGATACAAGAACACCTCATTAATCTGCAAAGATCTTGTGCAAAATCAAACTCATCTAACATCTTGACAATATAAAACTATTTAGCAAGTTTGATCAAAAAGTGATTACAAAAATATTTGCTCCAGTTGTGACAAGTTGAGCCAAAAGCAGGCAAAGTCTTGATGACACATGCCTATTTACCGAATTTGCTGAATATGCTAGCAAAATTGGCCTTTGAAGTGGTAGCTAAAGTAACTGATCAGATCCAAGATCCCATCATAAAAGATCCATAGGTCTCATAATTAGATCATCCAACTGTTCTGGTGGCCTAGTGGTTCGAGTCTCTGCCTCAGATGCAGGAGGTTGCAGGTTTGAACCCTGGCCACGTCATACCAAAGATTTATAAAAATGGTTCTTACAGATGTCTTGCTAGGTACTCAGTATTAAGAGATTAGTGTTAGGACTGGTCAGCCCAATTGTATATCAAATAAGTGAAATCCATATTATAACAACTTCATATATATTGAGATATAGAGTTGTAGTGTTGTTATTTCTGAGGTGGAGTAAAACTGGAGCTTGTTAAGATTAACTGTATTTCTATATATTCCAGACCTGCCAATGCTGACGAGACTCTCAGTAAAGCAGTTGATTTTTTTTTTCCCTATCAGATTTATAAGTTTTCAGTAAGGTGTAACAAGAGATAATAAACTGCTTTAGTAAAGATGGAAAATGTATTTTAAAAAAGTATTCAAAACATGTAGTGATGGTAAACATGTTCAACTGAAAAGTTTGTAAAGTACAAAAAGATCTTATTTACCACTAGTACAGTTGCAGAAACTTCAGTTCCAAACCCTATGCAGCTCAATGACCTGTTACTATTTCTCAACGTGGCATAATTCTTTGAACATAATTGTGTCCCTTCCTGTTTTTATTCTCAAGAATCTGAATATTCATTTTTATTCTACTATGCAGATTACTAACCCTTTTTAAGATGAAGATTTCTTCTTTCTTCTTCAACATGCATTGCTTGCTGGACACCATTTTATTAAAACCCTATAATCAACAATTAGATCATGCAGATGCTTTACATGAAAAAAATATGTGGAGTTTAAAACATCTGAGATACTGCTGTAAAGTTATTCTGATTCCACGACTAACTTTTCTAATTCTAATATGAAACCTGGATCCAAGTCAAACATGGATGAACCAATTATCTGGAATTTTTGGCAACAATCATTTTTCCATGTTTTTTTTAAATTTTGTTCTGACACTCTGTATTTTTAAGTCTTTTTCATAAGATAAATAGCAAAATTGTAAGGATGGCAAGTATAATTATAAAAAAACTTAATTTTTTATTCCCCCTCTCCAAGCAAGTATCCACTTAAAACCATTACCTTTGAACAATTTTATTTTGAAAATTCATACCAAATATATGCAATTATTGCATCAGTGTTCATAGGATAGTACATTTAGAAGAAAGGTTTGATTAAATCCCTCAAGCCACATGCAGAATAATAGTTGAATATTCACTGCAAGCAAACTGTACAATACAAATTTAAGATTTAGTTTAGTTACTGTAGTAACTTTGCATTGCCTAATAACATTAACTTACCAGTGTGAAGTATGCAATGATTATGACATTGTAGTATGCATTGATTATGACACTGTAGTATGCATTGATTATGACATTGTAGTATGCATTGATTATGACACTGTAATATACAATGAATATGACACTTATTTAATTATGTCATAGATTTACATCCTAAGAATCTCAATAATGAACCATATCTACACATAACATCACAATAACTACTATGACCAGAGTATTGCTATGGTAATATTATAAGCGATCAAACTTGTTTCTTAATTTCTTGAAGCAGGTTTACTCCTTTGTCTGCAGGTTTATATGCCAGCCAAGTACCTGCCTGTCAAAACTACAGGAGAAAAGATTGCACAATGTGTTTTCTTCTGCCCAATCCACAGAGCAAACCATTTTTCCATGACCCTGTATAAATGACAAAAATGATAAGAAAAATAATTAATTTTATAAGTAATTGTGAATGTTTTTAAAGGCAAAACTGAACAATATGTAGACCTTGCTACTAAGATTGGTGAACATGTATAACTCAGAAAAAAGCAATGGTAAAGTGACATTAATTTTCTGGTATTTCTGAAGCAAAATAATAAAGCAGTTACAAGAGGTACGACAAAATTATTATTTTCAACACTGCATCTCAACTACTGAAAACAAATTCAGAAAATTAAGCCCTTCAAATGTAACTAAAACCTTTTTCTTTTGAATGAATTCTTGAAATTAAGACATGAATATTAAGTAAAGTCAGAAGTACTGAAGATTTGTTTCAACTGTAGGACCTTTTGCAGTATCCATATGGTTGACAAAAGGGACTGAATTTTAACTTTGACACTCATCATGCCACTTCAAGTTTTTCTCTTTCACACAGGTTAATGCCAAACTGGAAAAATATGTAATGTTTTCACCTGACAGGAACTTAAACATCAAAGTATCCATGATACTGACAAATCCATGAGAAAACAAGGCGTAAAAAGTAAACTGAAGGGAGAATGAGAATGTTCGATATTGCCAAAACTTTTCTGAACTAAATAATGCTCTAGAGTCAAATGCAAAATTAACTAAAACTGTACTAGAGGAGAAATTCATAACTTATTAAAATCCAAAATTGTAAAGCCCTTCAAATATATTTTTGTTTCTTATTGCTTTGGTTTAAAAATTAGGGTAGGTAGCATTTTTTTAAAAACATTTTTATATATATATATATATATATATATATATATATATATATATATATATATATATATATATATATATATATATATATATATATATATATATTATAATGATTAGTATATAAAATGTACAAAGCACTTAAATACTGGTCTAAACTGGATCAGTTTGATGCACAAATCAATTTCAGGAATATTTTCCGTTACATTTTTAAAAAAGATAATTTTGTTAAATTTTAAACATATTTATAATAATGATCAGTATATATAATAATATAATGTAGTAAGCACTTCAAAAATTGGGCTAAACCAGCTCAATTAGGTGCACAAATTAATATGAGGATTTTTTTTCTTAATTTATTTTTAATTTTATTTTTTTTTCAAATTCTTTTTAACATTCTGGTTGAAAAGTGCTAGAGTTTGCAATGAAAAACAGAGATTGTCAGTTTACCAGAAACATGCACATTTTTTTGGCATAAAGATAGTAACTGCAATATTATAAAATATGATAATGCTAAGGCAATTTTGAATAAAATATGTTGTGAAGAGTCCCACTCACTTAAATTTGTTTGGCACAGACACTATTTTTGTAGAAACCAAATTAAGAACACAGGTATTCAGGGGCTCTAACTCCTCTAATTCAGGACGGGAATGCTTGAAAAGCCAACTGATTCAAGGAAAATCATGGGAACAAATCTGTTTGAAATCCAACAAACCCCGAGTAAGAACATGCTGCTGGGTCTGGAAATTGGGCAATCAAAGGTCATAAATCTTTGAAATTATATTGTGAAATGCTGGAAATTAAATTTGCTTAAGATCTCATCAATACAAATGTACATGAAAAATCTGACTGTAATCTGAAAACCTTTAGGCCCTGCTCTGGGGTTTTGGGGCACCAAGTGGAAAATGCACAAGGCAAAGTTGTTTGCTGTGAAATTCTCACAACATGAAGCAAGTTAACATAGACTCACATGTGTTCGCCTGACATTATGGATATTGATCACTGTTATTACTGTCTAAAGCAGACAGCTAATGAAAAGGACTGCTTCTGTTTGATCAAGAAATATACTGGAAATAAAACAAAATACACTAACTTTGCACATCCTTGAAGAACAAAAACAAATTCTCACAACACAAGCATTATTATTTTCTGAAAGTGCACTTTAAAAATATAAAATATCTTGAGCATAATATCAGCTCATTTTTTTCATAATTCCAAAGTTCTGAAAATGAAAACAGCTATGCAGAGTTAGTAATCTTATCAGACACACATCAGAAGTAAGGCCTGGAAGTGTACTCTTGAACCCAAAGTGCAGATAGAAAAGTGCTTTTCCTAGAGGCACATCATGGTGGCTGACCAAGCATGGACTGGACAGGATTTGAACCCACATCCATCTAGTTGCATGTCCATTACGCTACATACCAAGCCTCCAAGCTAACTTTAATGCTGGAAGTTCCACTCCTGAACAGCAAGAAACTTATGAAATGGTAAAAAAAGCAAATTGTATAAAGCAACGAACTGTTTTTCTATAATCACTCTGTGCACATTTTATGCTTCAAAAATACCACAAGACTTATGTGCATGATTGTGCATATGATCAGAATACTTATTATTAAGTATGTACTTATTATCCATGTTAGTATTTTGACCATAGGTTAATTTCTTACCAGTCTGTTACTCCTCGGAAGGCGACCTATCCTGTTTCCATTAATGTCATACAGTCGGATGTGTCTATTATCATGAGGGATAGCAATTATGTTTTGGTTAGGAGAAACAGATAGCCTGAAATCAAAAAAGAAATTTTAAAAATTAGCAAAATTGTAGAAAGTATTTTAATCCCTTTCAAAACATTTCCAAAACTGAAAATGGGCATTCGTAAAATATTAACTTCCAATTGGGTAAAACATATACATTGGCTGTAACAATGGGTACTAATAGATATTTATAAGGTACATGAAGGAAATAAGATTAAAATCTACTAATATTTATAGAGTAGTAAAATTACTTTAGTTTAATTTTAAATTTTGATTTCAAAGGTAAAGATTTTAGTTTTGAAGACATCAGCAAAAACCTGCTTATTAATTGCATATTTTAAAATATAGCATGGATCGGGCAACATTGTGGTTATCAGTCCCTATCCCTAGTAAATGTTTCAAAATTAATCAGTCAACTAAGTACCTGTTAATTGCAGAGTCCAGTCTTATTGTTGCTATTGGCGATCTCATGTTCTTCAGATCCCATACTTTGACAGTTCTGTCATCACTTCCTGACACAACCTTATCTTGTCTTGCAAATCTGGCGGTTGTTACAGGTCTGAAAAAAAAACTAATACTGTCAGTGACAATGACATAAATTCAAGAACAATTAAAAAGATGTACAATTCATGAACAATTTCTATCTAGTACAGCACAGAACAAGTTAAAAAATTGATGCTGTGCATGTATTTTGTACAATATAAAGAAACTAAAGAATTTTCAACAATTATTAGTTAAGCTCTATTAAGCTTTCAATAGTCTTGAGTAGCCATTGCAAATATTAATTATCATGCAGAAAATGAGTTGAGAACAAAGTGACTAAACACTATAAACCCAGTAATGTGCTTTAACATCATTAAACAAACTAA